TTCCTTACAGCTTTCCTCTTTCCTGGCTGGAGTCATCTTATTTCAATTTAGATGGTGGTTTTTTTTGTTTGTTTGTTTTGTTTTTCAATAAGTCAGTCAGGAAATGAAACAAGAAAATTTTCTCTTGAAAATGAATTCTTAACACGAAACAAAAAATTAACTCTTGCCAAGGAGCAAAGCAGGTGGGGAAATGAGACCAAACATGTTGAACAGTGGTAGAATTATTCATTTGGGGGGTTATTTTTATGTTTATGTCAGAATGAAGTGAACAGTACAAGAGACCCACTCCCCCCCCCCCCCCCCCAGGCCCCTTTGCTCTAAATGAGCATCCTTCCTTCCTTCCTTCCTGCCTGCCTGCCTTCCTTCCTTCCTTCTTTCCTCCCTCCCTCCCTCCTTCCCTCCCTCCTTCTCTTCTCTCTCTCTCTCACTCTTTTATGGAAATCTGATCAGTTTCCGGCCAAACTCTTGAAATACCAGAGATGACACTAAGAAATAGTGGACAGGACTCTACCTTGCTCACCCATGGACCTGGCTCAGCAGAGACTACAGGCAAGTGGCGGCCAGCAGCCCGAGGCCCCTGCGGAGAAGCTGAACTGCCCTCTTTCTACTGCTGAGTCTATAGCTGGCGGGGAGTCAACCAGCCATGCTTTCTTGGCCATTCTTGAAGAAAATGATGGGGGAGCCACCTTGATAACTAATGATGGAAACACTTCCAGTTTCACAGATGGCAAACACATCACAGTTGGGTTAATGGCAAAAGCAGTCACCCTCACGTCATCGGCACCTTCCTCTCATAATCCTCAGAGACACCTTCCAGCTCCTGCAGGATCGACAGCGGCCAAATGCTCTTACCGTCCGAGTATTTTCCTTTCTGAGTCATGATTGAAAAGCTTCTCCTAGAATCATGGTCCCATCCCAGCCACCCTTCTCTCCAGCATCACACGCTGACCCCATCACCTGCATCAGTCCGCTTGGAACACTCTGGTCAGCATTGAACACTAACAAAGAAATGCCCAAATATGAAGGGCATGGTATAGGGTATCACAAAAGAGCATATCCTTTTAAGAAGAAGACAGCATGTGCTCGGGCATTGTAGCAGTTAGATTTTATGTCAGCTGGACCCTGTGTGAACATGTAAGGTGGGATCCAACCTGTCAATCAGGTCACAGTGTGATTGTACCCCATTGAGAGGTGGCCTTTTGATAAGGGAGAAACTGGAAACTCCTTCCTCTCTCTCTGCCCATTTGCCTTCTTGCTGGCTTAGATGCTGCAGCCGCAGGGGAAGCCCCCATGTGGGCCGCCTGACCGTGAGAACTGTCAGCGTCCTGCCATGTTTCCACTAACTTTGGATCCATGTAACTCTGCACCCCCTGGCCTATGATCTTCCTGCATCCCGCTTCGCTTTTCTGTGTTTTCAGCCTGCGGCAACAGGAGCCTGCAGAGAGCCTGGCTGTCATCGGACTCATGGGCTTACGTTGGACTGGGCTGAGATGCTTCCTTGATATAAAATTACTTCTTGATATGAAGCTCTTTCTTAAACATATGAACATCACTAGATTTGTTTCTCTAGACGGCCCAGTCTAACACAGGCTTGTTCCACGAACCATCTAGACAATGGGTGAGATAATAGTGCTTGTCTTGCCTGTTCTTGAAATCATGGGGAGAGTGTAGATCTCCTTTTTTTCCCCTTTCCTTTCTTATGTTTTCATGTCATGTGCACAGTCCCATCTTTTAAATTACACACCTACGCTAGGGGTAGCAGGTATTCTGTGGACAGAGCACACGGAAGAATCTCTCTTCTGAGGATGGGGCTCTCTTGCTGTGTTGAAAGTACCGGTCTGCTCCACTTGCTTTGGACATTGAATGTGGATTCAGTCATCTGACACATGTGAACGACTGGGCCTCGAGTTCTTGCACAACCCAGAAGAGAAGTGGTGAAGATTGAGGAGAGGTTCTTATAATCCTGTGATGTGAACGATGAGATTGATGGTCCCCTAGCCTACTGAGGAAGTGTTTCCTTCATCTAATCTCACTCGCGATTCTTCCTTGTTCCCCTTTGGGAAGCACAGACGGTTGCTGAGCACCTGATGTGCTAAAGGGTCCATGAAGCGCCCTGCTTTTCCTAGCCACCAGTGATCAAGGATCCTACAAAGGGAATGAAGCTCCCTTTACAATAACGCTGCGGGGTCCTGGGAAGAATCACACTTGACTGATTGACTCGTGCTGCTTGCTCTGGCGTGTGTATAGTGTCCCTGGAGAAGATTTTACGGGGGACAGAGGAGGCTTTCTACTCTTGTAAATAATTACAGCCTCAGAAAGCCACAGCAGCCGTTCTCCCCTGCCTTGTAGGCCACTATAAGTTGGAAATGACTCAATAACAATGAGAGTTTGTTTTGTTCTTAGGGAAGCTTTTAGAGGCCTGGGGCCCTGAGGTCATAGTGGATTGTGAATTGAACTGCTAACCTCAAGGTCAGCAGTTTGAAATCACCAGCTGTGCTCCATGGGACAAAGATGCGCTGTCTACTCCCATACAGAGTGACCATCTTGGAGCTGTGTCTCTTCTTTTAGTTAGAATGAACTCAGTGGCAGCAAGTTGGGTTTGTGGGGGGCATCAGGAGCATGGCTCTCCAGGGACATGAGTCTGGATATAGGCTCATATAGGCCTTGCTTGAATTTTGGCTTTGCCAAGGACAGCTGTCTGACCTTTTCATGTCGTGTTGCTTTGTTTTTAGCAGTAAAATGTTTTAGCTTTGTTTTTAGCAGTAAAATGTTCTAGCAATATACTATTTGGGTTGTTGTAAAAATTGAAAACAACAATAGCAATAACAGCAGTACCAAACCCCCCAACCAAACCTACTCCCATAGAGCCAATTCTAACTCATAGAGACCCTCTATAGCAGCGGTTCTCAACCTGTGGGTCACAGCCCCTTTGGGGGTCGAATGACCCTTTCACAGGCGTCGCCTGATTCACAACAGTAGCAAAATGACAGTTAAGAAGTAGCAAAGAAAATAATTTTATGGTTGGGGGTCACCACAACCTGAGGAACTGTATTAAAGGGCCGTGGCATTAGGAAGATCTGCTCTAGAGGGTTTCCGAGGCTAAAAATCTTTACAGGAGTACACAGCCTCCTTGTTCTCCCTCGGAGCAGCCGGTGGATTTGCATAATGTTTGTTGGCTGTACATTCTGATTCAGTATATCTGGGATAGAAATATATATTCTCAGCAGGGAGTTGAGCCAGAAAGAGCTGATTTGAAGCCCTGTAGTAACAATTTGCACTAACCAGGGATTCTGCCTGGCACATGGTAGGCACTTGACAAATGCAATTCTCTTCCCTTCCATAGGACCCTAGGTGGTGTAGTGGTTATGAGGTGGGCTTCAAACTGCAAGGTCGGCAGTTCAAAACTACGAGCAGCTCTGCAGGAGAAAAATAAGATTTTCTATTCCCATAAAGGGTTAGTCTCGGAAACCACAGGGGCAGTTCTGCCCTGTCCTGTAAGGTCGCCAGAAGCCCTAGTTGACTCAATGAGTGTGAGTTTGGTGTTATCATGGGTTGTTTTCCCTCCTTCTGCTCACATTTTATGGTCTTAGTAGATCTTTGATTTCTGTATTTGATTTGAATACAACATTCTACAATGCAGGTTCATCATAGTGCCCTCTTGTGGTTCATTTGTGTAGTAGTGTTTGTTTTTAACCTTTTAATTTAAGTGTAGTATATCTGCAAATAAGTGTTATTTTGAATGTGTCGCTAATGTCACCTAAATGTTTGGAGACATTCTGAGTGAATATTTCTATTAAGCTATATAGCTCAATGTACCCCCAAAAATCAAAACCTACCACTTTTTATTCTGCAGTCCAGCTCTGAGCCCTTACCTGGCTGGTGAAATACTGCATCTCAGTCCCTCTTGTAACTTGTACTGCACCTTCCCCAAGATACCCACTCTGCCCTGGTCTGTGGAGAGAGCCCTTTTTCCTGGCCTGGCTCAATACGAAGCTGTAGCATGCTGAGCCGTTAAGAAGGGAGGGATGCTCCTCACAATGACTTTCCCCACTGACGGCTCTGTTGACAGAGACATTTAGCCCGTGAGAGACATCTTCAGCTTTCACCAGGAAGAAAAAGTGTTTCAGATCACCAGGGAGAAGAATGCTAATTCACTTACCAGCTTCAATGCTAAAGAATTTTCCAAGAGGTATCTTTTGATTTTCCAAAAGAAACCAGAGGTATCTTTTGATGTCAGGGGAGTGGGGCTCAACTGACAGGGACACATGCATTTGAAACTCAGTTGGGTTCTTGGAACAAGGACCTATCCCAAACCATTATAACCAGGGAACGTCCTGTTTGTTCAGTGGCCCTGTCCATGAAGGGGGACCCTTGGGTGGCACAGTAAACATACTGGACTGCCAACCAGAAGGCTGAGGCTGGGGTTTACCCTGAGGGGCCTCAGAAGAAAGCTGTGACAATCTACTTCTGAAAAATTAGCCATCGGGCTCCCTGTGGAGCACAGTTTCACTCAGACAGACGTGCGGTTGCCATGAGCCTGCGTCACCTCAACGGCAGCGGTGTCTATCAGAGAAGTCCCAGAGAAGGCCATGGTGCTGGGAAAAGTAGAGGGGCAACAAAGGAAGCAGAGGGCCCTCAGCAGGCTGGATGGGCACGGGGGCTACTACAAGGGGCTCAGGCACAGGGACAAGGGTGAGGGCGGCGCAGGGCCAGGCAGTGCTTGGGTCTGTTGTGCAGAGGGTCGCTATAGGAGGAAGCAGCTCAATGCCCCTAGCAACAACAACAGGAGGGAGGATATGGACCGTGCTGAACTTTGTTTTTTCTGTGTCATAGGAGGAGGGGAGTGGGGGGTGGGGGGAGCATATTAGGAATGGGAGAGGACAAGGAGACTTTTTTTTCTTTTTCTTTTATAAACACTATCGGGTTATCAGGGCTCTTCTGTTGTTAAATGTATTTCATAGTTAACATCATCCTCATGCCAAGATGTAATTGTGTTTCAGATAACGGAGGGCAGACTTTGGCTGGGGGCAATAACTGGCCCCTTCGAGGAAGAAAATGGACGCTGTGGGAAGGTGGCATCCGAGGCGTGGGCTTTGTGGCCAGCCCCTTGCTGAAACAGAAGGGCGTGCAGAGTCGGGCGCTCATCCACATTTCTGATTGGCTGCCGACCCTGGTGAGGCTGGCAGGGGGCAATACCAATGGCACCAAGCCCCTGGATGGCTTCGACATGTGGAAGACCATCAGGTACCCAAACTCCCCTTTCCTTCCACAGAGGACTGAAACTTTAAGAATAGGTTGACTTGCTTGATTGAGTCAGAATGAGAAGTTTTGTTATCAAAATTATATGCCTACTTACATCAGTAACATAATATATGTTTGTAAGTTCCAAATTTTAGATCATGGGCCTGTGTTTTACACAAGAACAGAATTGTCTCCACCTTCTTGCCCTGTGTCCAAGTTGAAGAGTGAGTGCACTTTCAAGTGGGAAAGCTGTGCTGGGAAGTATGATGTGGTGTTACTAGCTTCCTGCAGGGCAGAAGTCGGGACCCTGCTTTGTGGCCTGATAAATGGAGGACCAGGCAGTGAAAAAGAGCTGAACCCAGGAGACATTTCAGCTTATAATCCATGAGGCACCTAATCGCGGTGTTCAACATTCTGTACATACTATAATTTAATTATCTCCAATGAGTGTTAATACATGGTGGCTTCAAAACATTAGTAGAACAATTGTTATCTGTACATCCCATTTGTCCACAAACTTTTGGATGGCCCCTTGTATAGTGTCTAGCTAAACTAAAGTCACTACCATCGGGTTGATGACAACTCAGAGTGACCCTCTAGAACAGGGTAGAACTGCCCCTGTGGGTTTCTGAGACTGTTTATGGGAGTCGAAAGCCCTTTCTCCCATGGAGCTGCTGGTGGTTTCAAACTGCCAACCCTGTGGATAGTAGCCCAATGTGTAACCTGTACACTACCAGGGATACTATATAGTAAAGTATTTCAAATATGTTTATATAACATTTTTGTAATAAACTTCAATATTAAAAAATAGTAGGGTTTGGCATAAGGTTATGTTCTACTAAGAAAGTTTGACAGCTATTAATGTTTAGAGCTTCTTGACAGATTAGGAATGGATGGAAGATACATTCAACTGTTTATTGGTTCCTCTCTGATGGGTCTCACCAGAGGGAAGGTACACTCAGCCCCTGCAAACCAACAGGAATATCTGATTCTAGGAGCTTTATAACCCCACCTCTTTCAATTATTTTGGAATTCAAAATTCCAGATTTTCCGTGGATAATTTAGCAACTTTTTTTTCATGCAGCAAAGTTTAAAGCATTCCTTGCTTTTCCCAACTTATTTCTGTCCTATTTGTAAATTGCTTTATTTGGAGGACACAAAGGCTTTGTTTACCTTTTATTATAAACAAAGGCTTTGTTATTATCAACAAAGGCTCCAGTTGTTTATTTTTCTTCTTGCCTGATACATTGATTTTTCATGTTGGAGACTGAGGAAGTGATGGGGCCTCATCTGGCCTCCTCCTAATTCAGTAGGGAGAAGGAGAATTCATCTCCACCCCAGGCCAAGGCCAATTGCCATAAGGCAGGGGTCCAACATGCCTAGACCCATCATTCTCCTTCTATTCTGATCCCAACTGCTCCTCCCATGGCATTCTGCTTCTCTGCTGGGTTCAGTAATTTGTTGCAATGCATACACAGAAGTCATGGACAATACTCACAACTATGGGGATTTGTTTATTAGGGGATGTAAACAGTTTACCACAAGTCCGAATCAAAAAACATTAAGGATACAATCATTGGACCACTGCAGTGCCTCTTAGCCAGCAGTTTAGTCTCTCTGTGGTCTTCAGCCTCTCGACTACATGGTTCCCTGGTCTCTGTCTTATTTTGTGGGCCAGGAAACCTGTTGCTCCGCCTCTCAGTCTTGGTACTGCTTCTCTGCTCTGACTCATGGTCTGCTACACTCCCGTGTTAGGCAGGATCTTGGAACATGCTCTGCCGGTGGCTCATCTTTCTTGATTGCAGGGTTCCTGCTCCTGCTTCGGAGATGGCTCACTTATACCCAGAGAAATGGTAAAACCAAACAATCCCTTAGTTACAATCTTCTGCTCCTTATTTATCTTCTCCTACCCAGTATCTGGGTGGGAGTTATAGACTACGGGAGTTACAAAGACCACAAGGAAACAATAAGCCATTAATACATTACCATTTATTATCTGCCATTTAAAGAACATTTAACAGCAGGTTCATGGGAAAGTGACAAAAACAAACAACTATCAGTTGATTTAAGATTCTGTACTCATTGTTTGTTTATTCATATAAGATCACTAGGTTTTTCTGTGATCAAAACTTGATCTATTCACGTGTTCAGCAGTTACTGTATTTTCTTTTCCTGGGTCTTAGTAATATGTGCACACTATATATAATTAAAAATAAAAAGTGATCACCCGGACTTTACCTACCATGAACATATTGTTATATATCATAATTTTTATTTCATAATTTTTATTGTCAGCATTTTTACCACTTCTCTTTGCCTCATTTAACTTGATATTATTACTTTTTATCATGTTATTAAAAAAAAAACAACAACCCAAAAAAACTAACTGCCGAGATGACTTTGCTTTACTGTAGTTTGGGTGACAGTTTGCAGAAAGATTTTTTTCTTGTTTTATAACCCTTTTATCCAGGGCTGACTTTCAATAGATTGCAGTGAGGGAGCTGCTCTGCTATGTATGAAAGAAATATAGTTTTTATTCAATAATTTTATACACATTGTGTTAGTCTGGTAGACTAGAGAAACAAATTCATAGACACACACATATGTGTATAAGAAAGAGCTTTGTATAAAAGAACAATTGTGTTTTAAGAAAAGATCCTAGCCCAGTCCAGATCAATCCATAAGTTCGATACTAGTTCATATGTCCGGAACCAGTCTATAAATTCCTCTTCAGACTCATGCAACACATACAATGACACTGAGTGCAGGAAGACCACAGGCCAGTGGGTGGAAAGTCTTGTGGATCCAGTGGCAGTGGAACCATCTCAGCGCTGGTGTGCGTCTCCATGTGGCTTCTCCAGCTCCAGGGCTCTGGCTCCATCATTGTAGCTCCATGCAGCTTGTCAACAGGAATAGCTCTCAGAGAAATTGTATCTGACCTCCAGTGAGCTATTTATCTCCATGGCACCTCCAAAGCTGCGACCTGATTGACAGGCTAGACTGCACCCCTTCACAAATTGACAGATTATGTACCTGCCATGAAATAAATAAACATTTCAGCAAGCAAGGTTGTGTCATTTGCATATCACAGGTTATAATAAACCTGTGCAATACCCTCAACGTAACAGCACTCCTCTCATGTTACACTCCCTCCCAGGCTTCTTCGTTTCCAACTTTCTTGGTATTTAATCCAAATATCATACAACTCAATAGTTCAATAATATCAAGAAGACATCAATTGATATGTTTCAACAAACATATGGTGTTGGAGTTGCTCACTTGCTTATGCTGATAAATCTGGGAGGGAGGTCCAGGACAAACTGACTGTAAGAGATCTATATTTGGGCCTATCACAAAGGTGAAATTATCACCCAAAATGCAGAAATTATGAAACAATGTAGTTAATACTACATGCAAATAAACTTTTGCTGAAGATATTTCAAAAATTGTTGTAATAGGATTTCAAAAGGGAACTTACCAGAAATTCAAGCTGGATTCAGACAAGGATGTGAGTAAAGGTTATCCTTGCTGAAGTCAGATGGCTATTGACTGACCGCAGAGAAGACCAAACGAAAATGTTCACTTGTGGCTCACTTGTTATTCAAAGGCGTTCGAGCGTGTGGACCATAACAAACTCTAGATTACATTGTAAAGAGCGAGCAAACCAGAACACCAAGCTCTGGTCATGCATCACCTGTATATAGACCAAGAGGTAGTCATCAAACAGAGCCAGGAGCTGCATGCAGCATGGCTTAGTCTTAGGTAAGGCGTGTGTCAGAATTGTCTCCTTTCCCAAGACTTATTCAGCCTGCATGTTGAATAAATAATTCAAGAAGATGGACTATATGAAGAAGAGTACAGCATCAGGAGTGGAGGAAGGTTTATTACAACCTGTGATATGCAAATGACACAACCTTGCTTGCTGAAAGCAAAGAGCACATACAGCCTTTACTGTTGAAGATGAAAGACAACAGTCTTCAGCACAGATTACAGCTGAATATAAAGAAAACCAAAATCCACACAACAGTAAAACTTGCCAAGGATTTCATTTTACTTGAGTCCACCATCATTGCCCAGGGAAGCAGCAGTCTAGAAAGCAGAGGAGTTGTTGCACTAGGCAAATTTGCTGCTGAGGCCATTTTAAAGCATTAAAGAGCAAAGGTGTCACTTTGAGGCCTAAGGTGTGTTTCACTGAAACCGTAATATTTTAAATCACCTCATTTGCATGTAAAGCTGGACAATGAATAAGGAAGACTGGTGAAGAATTGGTGCACTTGAATTATGGTGTGATGAAGAAAATTGAAAATATCA